AAAAAAACCTCAAAAAACTACCACTAATAATACTTCTAATAAGACATTTTTGGGCCTCTGCTGGTGAGCAGCCTCATTTGATTTGACCAAAAGTGCTGCCTAATGCAGCGTTACATTGTTAAATGTAGCTCCATATGCAGATTACTCTGCTTTTCTATATATATGCACTTCCTAGTTTATTTAGGCTTCACTTACATGCCCCCACACTGATCACCCAACACAGCAGCTGCCCTGAAACAGGCATTTTGTGCAGCCTTTGATGTCTGCTTTGGCACCATGAAGACAAATAGCTGAGCAATGCTATCAGCTCTGGCAGCTGAGAGGGGTTCATGCTGCTGGCGGGGGTTCGAATGAAAGACAAAAGGCCTGTCATCAACTGGCTAGCAGCACCAGGTGTGTGCGTGCGTGCCTGTGTGTGTTTGTGTATGCACTACCGGTCTTGTTTTTTTTAGTATATTTACACTGGACTATGTGTGTGTTTATAATTACTCCTCTTTGGATTCTTTCAGAGGGCTGTCAGCTGCATCCGGGTCTTGTGTACACACTGCATGACAGCACTGGCAGGTAGCTCTAGCTGAGCCAACACTACTGCGTGTGTGTGTGTGTGTGTGTGTGTGTGCACACGCGCAAAAACATTTACCCTATGGGACCATCTCAGTGTCAGAGCAAGGACTTTTAAAGTCACACGGTTGTCAGCTGAAACTGTCAGTCTGACATCCCGTCATCGCCCACCGTCTCCCTGCCGCCTACTCGTAATCCCTTGTTCTTCCTCGTCAACTATGGCAGCTTAATTGGTAGAAGAGATGAGACGACATCCAATATGTTTATGATTGAGTTTACCACCCACAAACGCGCTTATTCATCCAACAACATGCAAAAACACATGACAAATAAATAAATCAATCAAAATCAGCTCATCTTGCCAATCACAAGCTACCCGGAAATCTTCACATCAACGGTCCAAAAACAAACGCAAACTCAGAGGCGTATTAAGCAGGTCTGCTGTCAAACTTATGTCATTAATACGGGGAGTGAATAAGAGTGATAGGACGCCTCTCGCTCTTTTATTGCAGCTTGGATATCTAATTTGTTCCAGGAAGGAGAGCGCATATTGATTCCTGTAGTAGCCGAATTCATGTGCGCAGGCGTTCTCATCACACATTATCTGGTGCACGAGCTCAGAGAATCACATTCATTACTTTGTTTTGTGCTGATAGGGTCATAATTCGAGGTGGGCGCAGTCGATGAGGTTGTGATTTAGTTTGGGGGTGTGAGCGCTCCTTAATGCTTTCCATAAATGATTCTCCTGGTACTGTACAGAGCTTATCATTTCATAAGTGCGGCAGCATGTGCCGCAGAAACACAGGTGGATGGTTATATCTCATTCCTCGGAAGTGTCTAAGGTGTCACTCATATTGATTCTGCTGCGTTATGTGATGCTCGAAATCAGCCCATTTCCATGAGGAGCAATTTGGAGGAAAACAACTGCTGCAAGAGCCGAGTTACAAATACATCAGGGAAACTGTGCTCCAGGTTTCATTGATATGAATGACATGTAAGCTGTTTAATCTGCCCAATTAAAGTGCAGAAAATGTTTATTTGTTAAGCTGGTTATGTCAAACATCGGGTTTCCATCAATCAAATTTTCCCCCTCGCAGTTATCTTCACCTCCTTTCAAAATCATTCTGGTCACGTGCTGCAGTGTTGCGGTGGAGGATAGCTGTGATCATTGAGGCCAATAATCACCCTATAATAGGGCTGCTCGATTATGGCAAAAATGATCATCACGATTATTTTCACTGAAATTGAGATCTCGATTATTTGACGATATTTATTTAACAATAACAATGTGTTGAATAATGACTTTAAAGATTGTCAAAAAA